TATATATATATATATATAAATGTAAAGACAATGCCATAATTGCAATAGCAAATAGGATTGTAATTTACAATCATAATAATCACGGTTAAAACCCCAATTTAGTTCCTAAAACTTGGTAAAAACCTCTTTTTTGATCCCTAAACTTTAAAAAACTCCTTTTTGATCCTTGAAATTTATTTTTCCAACCTCTTAGTGACGTGGCATGTTAATTAATTGAACATCTATTTTTCCTTTTTTATATAAATGATGTGGAAAATCCAAGCTATAGAAAATTATGACATGACATTTTTTTTAAATTATTAATGTATGACATCGAATTTTAAGTACCTATTTGTTTTAAAATATAAAAATTAATAATGAAATGAAATTTCAAATTTACCCCATAACCTGTTCTCTTTAACCCTACTTTTTTTCAACAAAGGGCAAATTAGTCCCTATACTCATCAAATGGTGGCAAATCAACCCCTAAACAAAAAGTAGATGCATTTAAACCACTAAACTCATCGTATGGTGGCTTGTCAACCCCTATTCGAAGAATCACGTCACCAAATCAAGTTTTAATTTGTAGCAATTGTTCAGGCATATTCTTCATTTTGTCCAATTTAGTCCTAAAGTTTTTTGAATGTTACAATTTCAACCATTTACTTTTCAAGTTTACTCAATTAAGACTTATAGAAAAAACAAGTTGAATTAAAACCTCAATGTTAAAGTATGCAACTGTGTTTCACACAAAGAATTATGAGGTATACATATTGTCACGCCTCAGGACCCAAATCTGAGGATGTGGCAGACGCCGTGCACTCGTGAGACGGGTCCCACAAGTGCACAAGGCACGGAACTTATTCAAATCACAAAATTTTACGAATAAAATCTACTTTACAAAAGGATGATAAAATCTAAAACTTATATCCAATTAGAATGGCTAGCCTTCTATCTTGTCACTCCCCTTGGTTTCCCCGTCCTCGGTTTCGCTTCCTGAAAAGGTGGACAAGGAAAACTATGAGATAAAATATCTCAGTAAGTAAAAATATGGATAGCCCTTGGTAAAAATTTAAGCATGCCAAACAAACCATGTAAGCATAACAGAACTTTCAATGATAAACCATTCATGCATAATAAAACTCAACAATAGTCTCATCTATAAGTCATGGCCAGTATTTAACAAACTCCCACTGGCAGGCGTCAGTAATGGTACCAGTGTTTAACAAACTCCCACTGGCAGGCGTCAGTAATAACCAATGTTTAACCCCATTGGCAGGGTTACAAAAGTACCAGTGTTTAACAAACTCCTACTGGCAGACGTCAGTAATGGTACCAGTGTTTAACAAATTCCCACTGGCAGGTGTCAATAATTACCAATGTATTATCCCATTGGTAGGATGAACCGGTTCCACAGAAATACATGTCGACATGTGCTAACATTTGCAAACTCCCACTAGCGAGCGTCAGTAATCATGACTATCAGAGACAAAACCATACAGAATTTACAGAAAATCCATAATTCACCATTAATCTCAATTTCAAGAATAAACCGGAAAATTTCATGTGGGCATGCTCAACTTCAGAAAAACAATGAAATTCTCATTTTCATTCCAATCATGCTCAATTCCAAAAAATAATAATTTTCACAAAAATCATCACAATTTTCATGCAAGCATGGATTTAACAGAAAAACTTAGAATTTACCAAATTCTCAGTTCATCAAGGCAGTTCAGTCCATTCTAAATAGGCATGCTCTACTCAATGCAAATGAAAACAATTTCATTTCAAACCAATCATGCTCGGTGCAAACAAAATCGACTTAAAATCAATTTAAACCTTACCACCATCTCAAAAATAGTTTAAAATATGCTTTAAAATCAAAGGGCTTTACCATAAATTTACTTACCTCACTCACACAGAACAAAAGGCTTAACCCAAGTGCTACAGTGACAGAATGATCAAAACCTAATCACAATATTCCAGAATTAATACCGTACTATCACAAATTCAAGTGAAAACTTCATTAGGATCACCCCTAATCACAATGCTATTTCTATTAGTCTCATCTCACGGGATTTTTCTCCAAAATCACAACAACCCAATTCAAGCTAATTTACACTTAAACTAAGCTTAAAAACATAGCTTAAGCTACTAAAATTTCCCCATTTCTCATGGGCAGTACATGGAGAGCATAGCTTTGGCAAACCACAACTCACACACACGGTATTTTCACACAAAACATCACAGCAGCCAATTCAAGTAATTTCCACATAATTTAAACAACAAAACACATTTAAAGGGCTGCCAAATTCATCCCCTACTTCCAGCAGGTTTCGGACAGCAACAGGGCAATTCAAAAGCAGAAACCCAATCAACACAAGGCAACAACTACATGGATAAATTAGACTTGGAAGAGTCGGCAACTTACCAGAATTCCAGCAAGCAAACCAGAGCTAGTAGGGAGAAGAAGCCGACGGCATCTGTAGGGAAACTCACAGAATTAACCCAAATTCAAGAACCAAAACAGAAATTAGAGTAACCCAAGCCAAATCAAAAGAGAGAGGATGAATTTCATGGCTGTGGCTTACCCCAAAAATGCCCAGAAATTCAAACCGACATAGCAGTCGGCGGACAGGGGAGGAAGAGAAACTGCAGATATGAAATTCCTTGCTTTAGGGAGGGTTTCTAAGTCCTAAGCTTGTTATTTAACAAGAAAAGAAGGAGAAATTTCAAGCTTTTTGCCAATTTTTCAAAGGGGGACGTCGGTGGCTGCTTGGGTCCTTCTTTCGAGGGGACGGGAAGTAGAAGAGCAGGACACGCACATGTGGCTGGGAGAAAAAAAGAAAGAAAAAAAAAAGAAAAAAAAAAGCAATTGATCCTTATCTCAATTTTATTTCTTTTTAGTCCCTGAACTTTGAAAATTTCTACTATTAACGCCATTAATAATATTTCCTCACAAATTAGTCCCCAACTCAACTTTAATATTCTAGAAATTTTGGGATATTACACATATGTCCTTCCTCACTCTTAATCGAACTCTCAAACTCCAATCTCTGTATAAACCATTTTAAGTGACTTGCCTTACCTTATAAGTTGGATGAAAAACAACTCTGTTTTTCTTAATCTTTTACACTTGCTTTATTTTTTCAATTTTCATTTTTTGAAAATTTTTAAGTGGTTGTAAACAATTAGCATATAAGTTTCTTTAGAAATTTACTCATTAATGATCCACCTGCAACTACATTAATCATGGTATAAGTTTTTGGAAATAAACCATTATAAAAAAGTGTTGGTAGACCATGATGTGAGCACTTCCTAAGCAGCTCTTTGTATCTCTCCCATACCTCATATAATGACTCCATGTCAAACTACATAAAAGTACTAATTTTGTTATGCAACTTGGTAGTTTTAAATGGAGGAAAGTACTTACCAAGAAATTTGCTTGTTACCTCATTCCAAGTAGTGATTGAATCCAAAGGTAAAGAGTAAAACTAATTCTTTGCATTACACATTAAAGAGAGAGAGAAAAGTCTCAATCTCTTTACATCTTTTGAAACTCTATTATATTTGAATGTGTCACAGATTTCTAAAAATTAAGTAAGGTGTTCATTTGGATCTTCATTCAAAAATCCACTAAATTAATTGAATTGATTGTTAGATCATCTAAATGAAAGTTGGCTTGATTTTAAAGTTGTTAGCTTGTATTGCTAGTTTCCTTATGCATGAGGCCACACCATCCATTTAAGGTTTATGTTACACTATTTTCTGCCATCTTGTGGGTTTGATTGACAACTAATGCTTTCTTCTCTTTGTTCAAAAGGTGAAAAGATCAATCTAAATCAAGATCAAATTGTGCAAGTTTTGTGTTTTTAAGCAAACCATGCACTAATTAACTTGCACACTTGTAAAACAAATAAAAGAAAAAAAATTCAAATTAAAACTACAATTAATTGGCTTTGATATTAATTAAAATTTGTATAGTCCTTGCCAACAGCACCAAAAACTTGATTAGCTAATTTCATTCTAAGGGTACTAGTCAATTCAAATAGTATAATTATGAAAGTCAATTATTGTCCCATAGTGTAACATCCCCCTTTTGGTTTATCAAGTAGGGAAATGTATTGCAAAAGATAAAAAAAACAACAAGAAATATCTATAGAAAAATATTGCAACAGAAGTAAAAGCTCTTCTAATATAAAATGTTTCCTTATGAGAAAACCTGCTTTCAAATCAATTTAAGATTTTATAGAAAGAAAATCAATTACCTGTGAAGAAAAACTAATTTAATAAAAATATCTTAGGAAAAATATCAAAATACTCAAACTCATAAAATAAACTAGGCTAAGCCTACTTCTCATTGATTGTAAATTAAATACATAAAAGTAATTTACACAAAAAATGCATGAGCAAATGCTTTTTCAAAAACTTTCCAAAATAATAAAAGCAAAATTATCATTTTTGTAACACATTAATTTGTCTTCATATCAAAAGTATAGATATCTTAACTTCTACGTACAAGGAGCACACAGGACCTACACTAAAACTCTCAAGCTAAGCAACTGCTACTCCATTCTACTGATCTAAAATTGGGGGAAATACCATGAGCTAAAAGCCCAATAAGTTTTAAGTTAGAGTTAGGTCATAACTCAAATTTTCATAAAAAGAAGAAGAAGAAGAAGAAGAAAATATATTTTAATTAGCCTTATTCTTTATGTTTCAAGACTCAATTTTTCATTTAAGTTTATTTAGACTTTCCATGAAGAATATATATATATATATATGTATAAATCACAAAACTAATCAAAATGTCAAAACAAACGCAAAAACACAAAAATATGAATTTTTCTCTTTTCTTTAACTAACATATATTTTATTTTGTTTCAGGTGCTACATGCAAAAAGAAAAAATTTTGTGAAGAAATTCAAGAGAAAGAACAAGAAAAAGACTCAATTGAAGAAATAAAAAAAAAAACTAAGGATGAAATCTACCCAGAAAAACCAACAAATTCAACCCAAACCTAAATATTAAGCCCACTAACCATTTAATCCAAGGCTTAACCCAATTCCACAAGCCAGCCCATCAAAACCCAAACCCCAAAAAAAAAAAAAAAGAGAAAAACCCTAGTCTTCCTTATTCTCTTTAAAAGAAGAGTGGTTTTTCGAAAAAGAGGGGTGGCAGACAAAAAAAAAAAAATCTTCCTCCCTCCTTCTTGGCCATTCTCTTTCCTAACCAAAAATCCCTAAAATCTTCTACAACCGGTTAGCCTCCCCCAAGCTCTGGTTGACTCTAATCTCATCATCATCACAGCCTTCACCACCATCCTCAGTCACCATCGAAACAGAAGGAGGCAATAGACCAAAAAATAAAAAATAAAAGTTTAAAACCTTATTTTGGTCCCTAAACTATTGTACAGATCCCCAATTTGGTCCTTACTATTTACCATTTTGATCTTGATTTGGTCCTTTCGTTAAATATCCACCGTTAACTCACAGTGAGTTAATGACATGGCAAAAATTTTAGACACATCATATCAAAATGATGACATGGCAACATAACAGGTTATATTCATGCCATGTAACCCACCAAAATTACAATTTTACCCTCATCTTCTTCCTCCAGCATCCTCTTTCTCGAATCTTCTTCATTCATCCTTCTTTTTCCCTCTCTTTGCCTCCTTCGAGACAACTTTTATCACCATTTTTCTAAGTCAAACAATTAATTCAATGAAATGGAATTCCATTCTTTATCAATCAATTCTTTTTCATCATCAAACAACAAAACCCATAAAAAAAAAAAAAACAAAATTTTTTTGGCAAAATACCCAAATCCACCCCCAAAATATAGTGGCAGGGACAGATCCACCCTCGAACAAAAAACGGGGACAAATCTACCCATAAAGTTTTCGACTTGGACAAATCACCCCAAATTTAACGTGTGACGTCATTTGACATCAACAATATGTTAATTTAACGTCATCTGACGTCAGTAATCCGTTAACGAATTAACGAATTGCTGATGTCAAATGACGTCACATGTTAAATTTGGGGTGATTTGTCCAAATCAAAAACTTTGTGGGTGGATTTGTCCCCATTTTTTGTTCGAGGGTGGATCCGTCCCTGCCACTATACTTTGGGGGTGGATTTGGGTATTTTGCCAAATTTTTTTCGAACCTAGCATTAGGTTCGAACAAACCCAAGCCAAGGTTCAAATGAACCCAAGGCCAAGGTTCCAAGGAACCCTGCGCTAGGGTTCGAACGAACCCAAGCCAAGGTTCCAAGGAACCCAATGCTAGGGTTCGAATGAACCCTGTGCCATGGTTCGAAGGAACCCCATGCCTGGGTTCCAACGAACCCAG